TCTCTGTTGATGTGCTGTTCCAGTCGTTTTTGGATAATCTTCAGTAAAATCTTGCTTGCATGTGAAATCAGTGAAATTGTTCTGTAGTTTCCACATTTGGTTGGGTCGCCTTTCTTTGGGATAGGAACAAACGTCGGTCTCTTCCAGTCAGTTGGCCAAGTGGTCGTTCTCCAGATTTCTTGGCACAACCCGGTAAGCACGTCCAGGGCAGCATCTGTTAACTGAAATATGTCAATTGGTATACCCTCTATTCCTGGAGCCTTATTTTTTTCCATGTCCTTCAAAGCAGCCTGAACTTCCTCTTTCATCACCATAGGCTCCTGCTCATATGCTGTTTCACGAAATTCCTCTGTGTCTTCCAATTCCTTTCGATACAGTGACTCTCAGTATATTCCTTCCATCTTCTTTTAATACTTCCGGGATCATTTAACGTTCTGCCGAAAGCATCCATGATTATAGCAACTCGAGGTTTGAATTTGTTCTTCAGTTCCTTGAGCTTAAGATATTTAACTATTACTTAAACATTTCCCCAGCTTATTTGACAGTGACATTCCTTACCTCCCCCCCCATGCTCCCTATTATATTAGCTTTATAATAGCTTGAGGAACATCTCAGGAAGAGGTTGTGAGTGTTGTAAGAAAACTAATGGGGTCACTCTGTGTGGAACTGTAGTGGCTGGAGGCTCTGGGAAGGCGTGTTGAAGTGCAGTAACCACAGAAGTGATAAGAGGTGCATTTGTCAAATATTGAGAGAGAATGTGGATATTTTCTCATGATTATTGTGCTGCTACTATTTCATTCCCAGGAAATGACCTTTGGCTCAAAAAAGAAGACTTTATTTTTCATGATAAAATGGCAGAGGTGAAAAGCCCAAGCAGAGAACTAAAGAATGCTGAAGAATTGTTTAGTAAAGTATCACCCGTACTTTTGAAGAGCCTCGTGGAGGAGCCAACGAAAAGAGCACATGTACCCAACCACTTGCTAGAGTCCAGTAAGTAATGAGAAAAGAGAGTTGCTCCAGAGCATACAGTTCCTCACTGAAGCCAAAGTTGAGAAATCATAATGGAGCTTTTTGTTGCTGATTTATTTATAGTTTCATGGGCTCTAATTGCTGGGTTGTGGTTTTTTTTTTAAAGAACAGTGGTTCTATTTAGATCAGTAAACCCCTTTCTTAACTACTGCATTTTTGTGGAGTGCTTTAGCCACAAGTTGTACGGCTTCTTCTTCCTCAGATATCTTTCCTATCTTTTCCACTGCCTGTGTCACTTTCTCCACCTGTCATTGTGACTGTTGAGCTACTTTCCCCCTTTGTCCTGCTCTCCAGGCTGTTCTTTGTATCTAGCTGGATGTTGTACTGTGCTACTCCAGTACTCTCAGTGCTTTTCCTGGAATGCAGGTAGAGCTGCCTTTTCTTTCCTTGACACTTCTTTACTCTTTGCTGTGCAACCTGAACCAATACATCTGGGACCATCTTCATACTTCCTCTGTACTTCTACATGGCTCTGGACACACCAGGTTACTTTGCTGCTCCTTTTTCATGTTTGTCTCTTAATTTGATACACTTGGTAAATCCTATAGATATTATGTGGCAAGCTAATAATTTTGCCCATTATAACATCTACTCCTGATTTATTCACCTGGTTAGCTCCAAAGCCCAGGTCATTATGGGAAATCCAACAATATGCGGAAAGGAAGGAGAATCATATCAACTGCAAAATGAAAACTGGCTACATTGTTACATAATGACTGGATTTCTGAGGATCATGACCCAGCCAGATGGATATGTTACCTTCATCAGCACAGTCAATGTTATTTTACCTTGTACATTGGTACTAATTACTTTCAGGTAGACTGTGTGAATTAGTCAGATAGTAGATTTATTTCTTTGTTTATTTACTGTGGTTGTATTTCATATGGCAAACCCATGGGAGAATTCTTATTCCATTCTACTAGTGGAGATACTGACTCTAGAGGAGTCTTCTGAGGTGGTTCAGTTGTGAATATGAGAGCCAATATTAGGGCTTGGAGCTCAGCATCCATCTTTCTTGTCTGCCACCTCAAGGACACAGCTCATGCCTAAAGAGAGAACTGGGAAAGGCTCATATAGACTTTGTGAGCTTGGCTGTTTTTTGTGTTTTTTTTTCTCTATAATTATATTTTATTAATTTTCATAAACATTTACAGAGATTTTGGGCTTCCACTCATTCATTGTTGCACTATTCTCTCTGTTTTAACTTTGTTCTCAAAACTGAAAAATGATGCTCACATTACAACAAAAGCTGAGACTTATCCAAAATTATAATTATTTTGAGCTTTAACATTAAAAAAGTTAAACATGCAGTAATGAGATTAAGCACTTGTTGTTTTAATCTGAACTGAGTATTTATTACATTGTAAGCAAACACAGGGCCAATCAAAGAGCTAGGGTGGCATGAATTTAGACAGACCTTGTCAGGTTTTACAGACACTTATAGAAAAATGTATGAAAGCAAACAGTTCTAGGGAACAATATATTGTAAGATTTCCCTTGTTCCTGAAAGCCTGAGGGAATAAATCACTCCTCCTCTGCTAAAGCCCAGCCCATTCTGGCAAGGCCAATTACTTATGGCACCAGCCTGTGCCAACAGATAAGAGAAGAAAGAAGAGAGCTGGCCAGAAACTACATAGACCCTGAGGCTGGAAGAAGGACAGGCTAAGTAACAGGTGCCCACTGGATCAAGTTTGTTGAGCAGTTGTTGTTATTGTTATGAGTTGCCTGTTGTTGAGCAGAGACTAAATAGCTCCAGTTTACCCTGAATCGATGATGATGCCTCATTGAGTCTCAGCCTCCCTACACCTAGGTATGGTTTAAAATGAAATGTTGCTACACACAGCCTCCAGTGTTGTTTGTTGGTACATTCTCTGGTTTCAAAATAATTAAGAGACTAGAACCAGAACCTTTCACATATATGAGCTTATATTATAATGGTAAAATCTCCCATGAGATGCTTAAAAATAGAAACAGAAATAGTCCGGATTACTAGAAACCACTAATCTTGTTGAGAGCTGTGTTCTCTGCCTGAAACTTTCCAATGCTTATAATGTCCCAAATTAAAGAGATTCCATGTTTATAAGGTTTTGTTTAACTTATTTTTTTATTAAATCTTTCATTTTTGTCTAATAATGCACTTACCTATATTGCTTTTTATAGAGGTTTACACGAAACTTCTGAAAAATAATGTCCTACAGGCAAAACCTGGCATACTGCATTTTGGAGGCTATCAACTAGAAAAACAACACAAACAGATTCTGGTAGGTGCTTTTTAAGTGGAGTAATTAATCATAATTATAAAAGAACTTGAATGTTGTGTGTTTTTATTACTCATTCATTTAAAGAGCAGCATAATGAGAAGACATATATGTCAGTTGGGCCAGAAAGGTAGTTCTGGGTTGAGAATCATTTGAATTGCATTAATACCTTTGGACAAGTACCTCCTTACCACCAAAATTCTTCTCAGAACATTACTAAATGATTCTTGTGTTACTTGATTTCATTCTTTGTAAGAACTCAGTGGTGGATGTATTATTATCCTTGGTGTAAAAGTAGAATTCTTCATTCAGGAGCACTCAGACCTAGCTATCTTCCTCGAGACCTGAACCCCTAAGGGAGGGCTACCTCACAAGAAGTCCCAGAGTTTTCTGTTCAGTCTGGATTGAATCAGATTCCTATTCCTAAATCATTTTGAACATTCTGGCTTCTGGATGGCCAGGTCTGGAAAGCTGGAGTCACCTCCACTGAGTAGATTCTGAAAGAAGTAGATGAAAGCAGGCTGGCTCCTCACTATTGCAGTTTAGCACAGAGCTGTGTGAAATACTGGTTTTTCCTGAATTTGCTTCATCAGCCTAGATGCTTACACTGAGATTTGTGTAATTACGGGGTTCTCATATCCTGTACTGAAAAAATAACATTTGTAACATCCTCAAGTCACACTGATAAACTGTGGACCTTAAATCTGAGGCAGACTGGTATTGGGGCACGTGGAGGAGTTGGGTAGAGATGGTGTTACTGAACACAGAGGGTTCTTTTCATTGTCACTTGCCAATAAGACAGATGGATTGTGATATCCAAAGCACTTTATTGCAGATCTAGGAGAGCAGAGAAAATGCTCTCAAAAACTGCCTCTCAAAAACAAAACAAAACATGAAAACAAAAACAAAAACCTGCCTCTATATCTAAGGATGGTTATTCGTTTTTATATTTAATTTAGATATTAATCCATTTAAGATAGATAGTTCTAAGGTACATTCAAAGAATAGTTTATATACAATTACTAGTACACAGACAACATGAAGTACAGTTTGCACATGGCTGAGAAAAATGTCATTTTAAAAGACAAATGCTAGTTCAGGAAAGATATATTTTATTCCTCAGTAAACTGATACCTTAAGGTAATCTACATGGCAATAGAGAAGTTAAAGCAAGGTCTGAGAACAAAAGATATATTAATTAGATGTTTCAACCAGTTTTGCAGGCTGGAAACACAAGAGGTCAAGGTTTTAGAGTTGGACCTTGTGTTTGAATAATCTTCAGCTTATTAATACCACACTATCAGTGGCATTTCTAATGTGGCCCTCGGAGGCCTTAGCTTTGCGTATTAAGAATCTGCACTTTGAGATGTGCCTGTCTTAAAATGGATCATTCCAAGAAAGAATTCTGATGGTCTGTTTAGAGTGTGCAGCATCTCTGCTGGACACTGGCAAATGGTAAAGCTTTCAGAAGGTGGAGTTAGATTTTGGTCAGACATTCAGCCTCAACTGAGGAGTTCCCAGTTTTTGTCGTTTGGTTTTTAATTCATTTTTATTTTATATTAGTTTGTTTACAAAGTTTGTATACATTGTGTTCCACACTATTCCTTGTTTACATTTTGTTTCATATAATCATTCCCACGAATTGTTCTATAAAATTAATCACCATTGGATTTTGCCCATCATTACCCTATCTTTTCAGGTCCCCACTGGATCTGTCCCATTTCCTTTGCCTTCTCCCTCCACCCACCAAATTGTGCAACCCTGTGGTTTTACCCCAACCCATCCTTACCCCTCTGCTTCCACCTGTTTCCTGCCTTGGGTCCCCATATATGTTTTACTAATTATCCTTCTATTTTTACAGTAATGGTCTTATGTAGTATTTGTCCTTATGAAACTGAGTTAGTTCACTCAGCATAATGCTCTCCAATCTCACCCAAGTTATGCAATATTTTTTAAATCATTGCTCCTGAATGCTGTACAATATTCCGCAGTGTGGATATATCACAATTTCTCAATCCACTCAGTTGTGGTTGGGCATCTGTGTTACTAAACACGAGGGGTTCTTTGCATAGTCAAATGCCAGTAAGACAGATGGATTGCAATATCCAAAGCAATTTGCAGATTTGGGAGGGCAGAGAGAATCTTCTCAATAACTGCTCCCCATCTGGAAGTGGTCATTACGTTTTTATACTTGGGTTAGATGTTAATGTCCTTAATATATTACTTTTGTTAGTTAAAGTTACAGGATTTCTTCATTAAAAAGAATAACTTACATATAGTTACTAGTAAACAGACAGCTTATAAAAGAGTTAACATATGATTGAGAAAAACCATTTTGGAAAGGAAAGATGCATTTCCTTTCCTGGTAATAGGCAGTTTAAAGTACTTTACATGGCTAAAGAAAGGGAAAAAAGAATTCTAAGGCAAAATAACTACTTTTGTAGGCTGGAAGTAACTGATGGGAGTTTTATAACTATATTGACATGTTTGGATAAGTATGAATTTATTAATATAAGGTCACCGAGGATGGACAGACCCCAGTTCAGGCCAAGAAAAACAGTTTATTGAGGAGAAACTTCCAGACTGGCTCTAAATCAGAAAAGCAGCCCCACTAAAAGTTAGAGAGGGATATTATATTTTCTTACTAGGAACTTGGGGAGGGGGATGCTCACAAATGTTTTTTACAAGATAGGGAAGTGTCTGGGTCTCAGATAACTATTGCTGAGAAAGTAGGTAGAGCAGTTTCACATTCTTTTTTTTATTTGATATTTTAATGAAGGTTTATACCTTTATTAGAATTTGAGTTTCTAATCATTCATTGTTGCACATTTCCCTCCCTGCCCCCCACTCCAGGTAGCTTTTTTCTTTGGAGAAAAGAGTAATTTCATTGTTATATAGACACCACCCCACAACCCCCCAGACACACATCCCCCAGCCCCGGACACTTTACTATGCAGCTCTTAAATGCCAATAAAACCTAATCATATATTCTTTTATACAATTCTCTCCCTCGTCTGTTTCAATGCCATGTAGATTATTTATCCCCTTTTTCCTTGGTTTCCCCCCAGCCCCGATGTTAGTCCTGTTTTATAGGGCACAGAGAACCAGTTGAAGTGAAACAAAGGAGTTTATCATCAGCACTTGGGCAGGTTTGCTCTCTTAGGCTACAGAAAGTCAGAGAAAGGCAGTAAAGTTGCACGTGGGGAAGCTAAAGGTAAAGTTTTCTATGCAGGGAGTTGGAGGTAGGGTGGTCTGTTCGGTGGTCAGCTCTCTGTGGAGAACACTAATTGGATGCCCTCTGCTTGTTCCCATATAAGGAGCTACTCAGGATCCTCAGGTGGGTTGTGTCATAGATGACAGTTATGCAGGTTGTGGCTGGCTCTCTTCTGATTAGCTATAGCCATCTTACACCAGGCTGATTGGAATGTCTCCCGGGAGGTGTGGTCAGCATGGAATGTTGACCAGCTCCCAGATGGCCTTTCATTCCAGCCTTTTTGGTTATATGGGGGCACATAGTCTTTCTTGCTACTTCTGCTGAACAGGGGCAGTGAATAGGACTAGCTGGTGGACTGGGTGGAGGTTCGCAAGGGAGCTGGGAGTAAGGGTGAAGCAGAATTTGATTTACGGTGACACAGGAGATCTCTTGAATTTGGCTCTGCAAAAACTTAAAAAACCAAGGAACAACCATTAATGCTAAAAACACTATTAGGAAAGGGCCAAGAATCGGGGCCAGCCAGGTAAAGAGTGGAGTTTGCCACCATCCTTGTTATAAGCTGCATGGACTTCTCCTGTTTTGGGGGGGTTTTAAAAAATTATTATTATTATTATTATTATTATTATTATTATTATTATTATTATTATTTTCTGTAAGTTATCTAGATTTTCTTCTACTACTGCACTTTCATTGATATAGTAGCAGCATTGCTCATTAAGAAAGAGACCAGTGCCACCTTTATCAGCTGTAAGTAAGTCGAAGGTGCATGTGTTCTGCAATACTACCCAGACAAGAGAGGTGATTTTCACTTGTAGTGAGGCCAGAGAGTTTTCTGAGGCTAGGAGGTCTGGGTGTAGGCTTTTAAGAAGTCCACGAGTCACCTCGATGAAGGAGGGGATGTTTATCTGAGGTAGATGTGTGTGGGACTGATGGAAGGGTCTTATCAGCATGTTTCCATAGAAGATGTCATAGCAGAGATAGATAAGGTAGGTAGAAAGCTAGCAGAGGAGGTTTGTGGTAAATTATGCATGAGAAGAAAAGGACGCCTGTAGAGTAGTTCAAATGGCCTGAATCAAGAGCGTGGAGCTGTGCATAGCCTAGTCAGAGCTAGAGGGAATAGAGTGGGCCAGGAGAATTTTACCTCTATGAAGAGTTTAGTGAGGTGATCTTTGAGGAGACATTAGCCCGTTCTACCTTTGCAGACAACTGAGGGTGGTAGGGTACGTGCAGTTTCCAGGTGATGTTCAGGGTTATTGATACTTGCTGAACAGCTTGAGAGATGAAGGCATGTCCATTGTCTAACTGGATATGACCAGGTAAGCCTAAGAGAGGGGTATAATTTCTTCTATCAGAGTGGAGAAAACTACTGCTGCCGTCTCATGTGTTGTAGGGAATGCTTCGTTCCAGCCTGAGAAGGTGTCTACTAGAGTTAGTAGGTAGTGCCACTTCTTGTGTCTTGGCATGCGAGTGAAATCAACTTACTAATTTAGTCCTGGCAAAAATTCTCTCATTTGGTGTGTAGGAAGCTTGGGGTGCATGCTGCCTTGGGGTGAGACTTTAGTGTAGATAGAGTATCGAGAATGAACTTGGTGTATTTTTTTCTGCCGAAGAGTGTGTAAAGAATTAAAGATAGACAAAGTGAAAAAAGCCTTGGGGTCCAATGTGGAGAGAGTTATGGATATCGGTCAAGATCTCAGGATATTGGAGTTCTTATCTCCAAGAAAGATCCAACCTTGAGGTGTAATGTGTCCCCCCCCCCTTTGCTGGTAAGCTGTCACCTTCTGCAGAA